TCAGCCACAGAGATTCGTAGCTTTCTTGGGTTGGCAGGCTATTATCGCCAGTTTGTTTAGGGATTCCCATCTATCGCATCTCCCTTAACCAAGTTGACTCAGAAGGGTGTTTCATTTGTATGGTCGGACGAGTGTGAGGAGAGCTTTCAGAAGCTCAAGACAACCTTGACCACAGCTATAGTATTGGTTATGCCATCAACTTCAGGTTCATATACTGTGTATTGTGATGCTTTGAGGGTTGGGATTGGTTGTGTATTGATGCAGGATGGTAGAGTTATTGCTTATGCTTCTCGTCAATTAAAGCCACATGAGAAGAACTACCCTGTTCATGATTTGGAGTTGGCTGTCATAGTTCATGCATTGAAGATTTGGCGGCATTATTTGTATGGCATATCTTGTGAGGTATTCACCGATCATCGCAGTTTTCAACATTTGTTCAAGCAAAAGGATCTTAATTTGAGGCAGCGGAGATGGTTGGAATTGCTCAAGGATTATGATATCACTATATTGTACCATCCGGGAAGGGCCAATGTGGTGGCCGATGCTTTGAACCAAAAGGCAGTGAGTATGGGGAGTTTGGCATATATTCCAGTTGGGGAGAGACCCCTTGCAGTTGATGTCCAGGCCTTGGCCAATCGATTCGTGAGGTTGGATATTTCGGAGCCCAGTCGGGTGTTGGCATGTGGTTTCTCGGTCTTCCTTATATGATCGCATTAGAAAGCGCCAATATGACGATCCGCATTTGCTTGTCCTTAGAGAGAGAGTTCAGCATGATGATGCCAGAGATGTGACCAATAGTGATGATGGAGTGTTGAGGATGCAGAGCCGGATTTGTGTGACCAATATGGATGTTCTTAGAGAGTTAATTCTGGAGGAGGCCCATAGCTCGCGGTATTCCATTCATCCGGGTGCCACGAAGATGTATCAGAATTTGAGGCAGCACTATTGGTGGAGAAGAATGAAGAAAGATATTGTGGGATTTGTAGCTCGGTGTCTCAATTGTTAGCAGGTGAAATATGAGCATCAAAGACTGGGTGGCTTGCTTCAGTAGATGGTCATTCCCGAGTGGAAGTGGGAGAGGATCACTATGGATTTTGTTGTTGGACTTCCACAGACTTTGAAGAATTTCGATGCTATTTGGCTGATTGTGGATCGACTGACCAAGTCCGTGTACTTCATTCCTATGTGTACCACTTATTCTTCAGAGCGGTTAGCATTGTTATACATTTGGGAGATTGTTCGGCTGCATGGTGTTCCAGTTTCTATCATTTCAGATTGGGGTACTTAGTTTACTTCCTAGTTTTGGAAGTCTGTTCAGCGAGAGTTGGGTAATCAGGTGGAGTTGAGCATAACTTTTCATCCTCAAACGGACGGCCAGTCCGAGCATACTATTCAGATATTGGAGGACATGTTGTGTGCTTGTGTTATTGATTTCGGAGGTTCATGGGATAAGTTTCTACCGCTTGCAGAGTTTGCTTACAACAACAGCTACTAGTCGAGTATTTAGATGGCTTCATATGAGGCTTTGTATGGGAGGCGGTGTAGATCTCCAGTTGGTTGGGTCGAGCCCGGCGAGGCTAGGCTATTGGGGACAGATTTGGTTCAGGATGCCTTGGAGAAGGTGAAGGTGATTCAGGAGAGGCTTCGTACAGCGCAGTCAAGACAGAAGAGTTATGCGGACCGGAAGGTTCGAGCTGTGTCCTACATGGTTGGTGAGAAGGTATTGCTGAAGGTTTTGTCCATGAAGGGTGTTATGATTTGGAAAGAAAGGAAAGTTGAGTCCGCGGTTCATTGGGCCTTTTGAGGTGCTTTAGAGGATTGGGGAGGTGGCTTATGAGCTTGCTTTGCCACCCAGCTTGTCGAGTGTGCATCCGGTATTTCATGTTTCTATGCTCCGGAAGTATATTGGGGATCCATCTCATGTTTTGAACTTCAGCACGGTTCAATTGGATGATGATTTGACCTATGATGTGGAGCCAGTAGCTATTTTGGGTCGTCAGGTTCGAAAGTTGAGGTCAAAGGATATAGCTTCAGTGAAAGTGCAGTGGAGAGGTCGACCCATGGAGGAGGCTACCTAAGAGACCGAGCGGGAGATGCGGAGCAGATATTCTCACCTATTTGAGGCTTCAGGTATGTTTCTTGACTCGTTCGAGGACGAACGTTTGTTTAAGTTAGGGAGGATGTGATGACCCAGTCAGTCGTCTCATGAGTTGCCACTCCATTTTCCCCTATTTCAACTTCTTTACGCTTCGTTATCCATGTTTTATGTGATCGGGTTGATTAGTTTGAGTTCGGAGAGGATTTGGTAAGAAATGAGACACTTAGTTTTTTTTAAGAAGGCTTAAGTTGAAAAAGTCAACCGGATGTTGACTTATGTGTTAAAGGGCTCGGATGTGAGTTCTGATGGTTCGGTTAGCTTCGGTAGGTGATTTGCGACTTAGGAGCGCGATCAGAATGGGTTTTGGAGTTGTAGAGAAGATTTAGGCTTGAATTGGCGAAGTTGATGGTTTGGCGATTTCCGGTTGAAAGGCGAGATTTTGATATAGGGGTCGGAAAGGAATTCTGAGAGTTGCAGTAGCTTCGTTGTGTTATTTGGGATGTGTGTACAAAATTTCAGGTCATTCGGGTGAGATTTGATATACTTTTGATCGAAAGCATAATTTAAGAGTTCTTGGAGTTCTTAGGCTTGAATCCCATGTTAAATTGGTGATTTGATGTTGTTGTGAGAATCCCGAGGTTTTGAAACAGTTTGAACGATGTCATGGGATGTATTGGTACAATTGGTTTGAGTCCCGGGATTCGAGCGAGTTCCGAGTAGGTTCCGGGATGTTTTAGGCCAAAAATCATAGCTGTAGCAGGTCCAGAAGGGTTGCAGGCCTCGGAACTCACCAGCGCGGCCCGCACAAAATGAAGTGCGTCCACGGTGAGTGTTGTGCGGACCGCACAAAATGGTGTGCGGCCACGGTAGGTGTTGTGTGGACCGCACAAAATGGTGTGCGACCGTGGTGAAGAACATTCCACTGGTCCTACTTCGGAAGCTCATATCTTTTGATTTACAAAAACTTTTGAGATGATTCAAAAACAAAAGTTGTAGTCCTTCGTGTCTAGTTTCTAGAAAGGTAAAGATATCGCAATTTGGACATCTGTAGAAAAAGGTATAGCCAAAATACTAAAGCCTGTCACTGCAGAGGAAAGCCTATGCGGCCGCGGTCGTTTTTGTGCGGATCGCACTGGTTTGTGCGGACCGCGGTCGATTTTGTGCGGCCCGCGAAGGTGAAAATCTGTGGGGTACTCTATAAATACGAGGTTTTAGATTTTATTTGATATTTTGACCTAGAGAGCTCGGATTTTGGCGATGTTTCAAAGGTTTTTCAAGAAATTCATCGGGATAAGTGATTCTAACTCAGATTTGTATAGAGTACATGAATCTATCATTGAATTCATCATTTAATTCGTGATTTGGGATGGAATTTGGGAAGAAAATTATGAAATCTTTCTAAAATGTAAAATGATGATTTGAAGGACCAAATGGTATCGGAATTGGATAATTTTTGTATGGATAGACTGGTGAGAATATAAGGATTCTACTTTTGTGAATTTTATCAAATTTCGAGATGTGGGCCCGGGGGTCGGGTTTTACCAATTTCTGGAATTTTGTGGTAATTTGATTGTTTTCACTTGGACTTTGTTCCCTTAGCATATTGTGACGTATTCGTTCTGATTTTGAATAGATTCGGCACGTGTGGAGGCCAATTCGAGGGGCAAAGGCGTCGCGAGCTAGAGAATTAGCCAGTTCGAGGTGACTAATAATTGCAAATGATGTCCTGAGTGTTTGAAACCCCGGATTGCACATCGTAGTGCTATATTGAGGTGAGACACACGCTTGATGATAAGCGTAGGGTCATTTACTATTGGGGATTGTGATTTGGTCCGCTCCGATTGATTTGTTTTCTGCGTATTTGACTGAAACTTGTTTGTTGTCATAATGGTTTGGGCTGATTGCCATATTTGGGCTTCATGCCAACTATTTGAACCCTCCGGGGATTTTTATCACTATTTCCTCACTGTTTTGATTTATTACTTGAACTCAATCCTTTGGTTTCCTACTGTTTTAGAACTCAGCCATTTTTACTCAGTTTTGAGACTTAAATGATATTCCTAAATGATGTTTTGGGCTGAGAACTACTATTTTACTAATGCCCGAGGGGCTTGTGATGATTTTTGGACTGAGTGTGGCCGAGGGCCAGATGTGAGGATACACTGAGTGATATGAGACCGAGGGCCTAAGATACATTTACATGCCACGAGGTGGCTTGAGTGATGTGAGGCCGAGAGCCGAGAGATGATGCCATGAGATGGCTTGATATTGCGCTTGGGCCGTAAGGGGCTCCTCCGGAGTCTGCACACCCCCAGTGAGCGCGGGTACCCATTGTGATCTGAGAGTGAGCCCGAGGGGCTGATACTGTTCTAAGAGTGAGCCCGAGGGGCTGATA